CAGCAGGAAGTTTATCACTGAGGCCAGGGAGAGCTAGGACTGTCCTCTGCCACTGTCCCCTGCATTCTAAAGACACAGTGATGTCCCTGGAGCCACCCTGGTCCACGTGTCGGTGGCAAAGGCTAACTTCTTCATCGCACCGGGTCCTTGGCCTTAGGTGACTCCTGCTCTGCTACAGCGGCTGAGACGTGAGGTGGCTCTCCCCCCACAATCTGCGGTGTCTCCGGGGCGCGAAGGGGCAGGACCGCAGTACGAGAGGCAGGTCCACTCAGCTGCTTCCCTTGATGACAGAGGGGTTTGGCGATCAGCGCGCAGTCCCACCTGGCAGAGGGGAACCGGCCGGCATGGCCACACACAGGTAAACCCCATCCACGGGGACAGGAGCCGGGTCTCAGGTAGCACACCCAGCAGTGGGAGCACAGGCCACGGAAGTCACATCTGCTCGCTGTGCCGCTTCGGGTTCAGTCCACGCTGCTCAACATGCCTCGCAGACCGATGGACTCGGGGCTGAATCCCGGCCACTCAGATGGCATGCTTGGCATCCCTGAGCTCGGCCGCAGTCAGGCTGTGGTCATCCGTGCCATGTCGGAGAGGCGCGCCATGCAACTAAGCTCAGACAGACGTGGGGTGCCCCTCGGGGACAGTGTCCCGGCCCGCCCATCCGCACACCACATTTCCCAGCGCCCTGCCGTCTGGGAAGCACGTCCTGTGTGGACAGACGCAACACCTCCGGGGCCTATAGCAGACAGGGCAGCCACTCCGGCTGCAGCTTCTGACAGGCGTGGCAGGCTAGTAAACGGCGGGGCGAGGTGCCACCGCCCCGGGAGCAGGGAGACACGTGTGACCCTGCAAGGACGACCTCCACGCCGGCGGGCATTCCGGGGGCTGGCCCAGTCCTGCGCAGGGAGGCACAGCTCGGAAGTCAGAGCTGGGAGGCCTTCTGCCAAACTGTGGGCTGGGCGGCGTCTGAAGAGGAAACCGCTCCAAGGCTCCGGCGTGGGCACAGCCACCCCTCTGCACTAACGAAGGGCTCCCAGCGAGTCCCTCTGCGGTTTCCTGGCAGGAAAGCGCGATGACGCCGCCTGTCCTGGCCACCCACCTGTAGGGCTGCCGTGGTAACAAATGTGGTGGGGATGGCAGTGCCCAGGGCCGGGGGCACTGCCGAAACGTCAGGTGTTCCGGTGGGTCTATGTCCCTCGTGGCCTAGCCACCCCCAAAGACCCTGTCCCGACTGAAGGGCGCTATGTGACGGGGAAACGACCTTCGCATTCCCGTGTCCCGCTCACCAGAGCTGACCGTGCAGAGATGAGGAGCCACTGAGGGGACGGGGCTGAGACCAGGCTTCGGCGAGCCCGGGCTGGGTCTGGCACGGCCCGCGACTGCACTGGTCCATCTTGGTGGGCTCCGACATCAGGCCAGCTGACGGACAGGCCCCTCGGGATGGTCTAGGTGCTCCAGAGAGCCCTGCGGGGAGCCCGAGACCTCGGCGGTCAGAGTGAGCCTGGAAGCAGACCCCACAGACGGTGGCTGGCACGCAAGGGAGCTCAGCTCCTCACAGCTCTGGACCTGGGTCCACAGGAGGTGCAGCAGGGGCGGGTTTGGGGTGCCCAGATGGCTCGCTCCGGCTGTCCTCCATGCAGGGAGAGGCAGGGCCCTTTCACGAGGACCCCAGTCCACCCTTGTGACCTAGCCACCCCCAAAGGCCCCGTCACCAAGTATTCTCCTACCGAGTGTCGGCATTTCGGTATGAGCACCTGGGGGACCTGAACACGCAGACCACGGCAGACCTCCTCCGCCCCCACCCTCGAAGCTGTGCTTCCCGTGGCTAGAAGGGGGCCTGACTACGATGGCTCGGAGACCATTCCAGGGCCCCCAGCCCCGAGTTCTCTGCATCAGATTCCTCCTCTGCACATGAGCGGCTCTCCCTGGGCAGCCGCGTGGGGGCGCCGGAGCTCCAGGCCAGGCGCGCACGGCCCTTGCCCTGGGCCGCCCTGACTGGGACACAAAGGGGCGTGGGAAGGCGCTCGGCTGGCGCCCGGCCTCCGCCTCCCTACGCACCTTGGCTCTCTGCGGCAGGCTCATCACGGCGTCCGGTTTGAAGTCGCCCTTGTTCCTCCTGCAGAGCACGGCGGCGATGATGACGGTGATGACGGTGACCACGGCGATGGGCGCCAGCACGGCCGCGATGATCCACAGGTTGTTGGGCGGGTTCTTCACCACGGCTGCGGGAGAGCGAGAGTGACGGGAGCGAGGGTGAGTGAGGCCAGGGGCCTGGGGGGAAGCCCCACCTCTGCTGCCCTGCAGCCTCGGGCAGGTTCCTCAGTGCCCCTCCGCAGACCCCCAGGTTTCCCCAGTGATGTTAAGAGGCAAAGGAGGGCCAGCAGGTGGTGTGGTGTTGAGGCACTGGACTCCCACAGGGCCGGCCAACCATGGTTCGAGTCCCAGACCTGGCAGCTTGAAAATCACACCACGCACATAAACGTGCGTGCCCAAAACCCCAAGAAGAGGATGGAGGAGACGGAATTGCAACGTGGCCATCCCTGGAGGATGGTCTCTCACTTGCTCTCTGTCTCTGGTGAGCACACTTGCCCTGTGGCGAAAATCTAAATTAAAAAGTGGAAAGAGAAGGAATCTGAAAATTAAAAACGTGTGCTAGAGCAGGAGGCAGGAGACACAGAAATGGCTCTCACTACCCCGTGAGCGAGCGGTGGGCAGAGGCTTCCCCTAGGGCTGGTGGGGAAGCTCGGGCATGCCTGGGTGTGGCCAAACGGGCCAGGCGGTTCTTAGAAGCACAGCGAAGAGCACCGAAGTGCTGGCCAGAAGGAAGGACGTGTGGCCAGGACGGCAGGTGCCTGTGGGATGGGGCGGCGGGGGGCCGCCGTGCCCGTCAGGCCAGAACCCGGGTCCCGTCGCTGTGTGCATCATGGCCCACGAGCGGTATGCTCAGGTCTGGACTCTCGCCACGGTAAAGCTTAGCCAGAATATCCCGAGTGTTCGCCTGTGTCAAGGACACGCATGCTGAGAGCCTAGGTCTGGAGCCTACTGACTCTGACTCACTTGGAAATACATCGAGAGCGTACTGGCGGGTGGGCGGAGGGGCAGGCCACTGGTGATGCGAAACACACCGCGCCGGTTGCAGATTCTAGGCGACAGGTGCGTGTGCCCACTGTCGCCCTCCGCTCTCGGGGATGTCGGGTTAGGAAGCTGTCAGAGGAAGCCCTTGACATGACATAAATGCGTCTCCCCCAGGAGCCCGTGTGGGGAGTCTGGGAAACACCTCGGTCCAATGGAAAGCACCAGTGTGTTCTCAGAGAAGCCAGGAGCCAGGGCCAATGTCTGTGAACACGGCGTTGTCAGAAGGACGTGATCTTAAGGAGTCTGGGGAGAAGTCCCCAAGGGCAGGCGAGGACTTGTCCAGCCAGGGCGTGCCTGCTGCGGGGGCATATAAGCCGGCCGACCTGGTCTGGCGGGAGGGACAGCCCGGCAGCTCCGGTCTGACACCAACTCCCCAGAGTCTCGGCTCTCGGTCTTCATTATCTTTCGCGGCCCTTCACCGCCTCCAGTGGGACTTGGGCCTGAGCCCTAAATTCCCCCATCTGCTGTCAGCTCGCGCCTCCAGCTGCACAGAGAACGGGCACGCCAGGGCGGGTGTCAGCCAGCTCCCGCTTCGGCAGACCCTGTCCTTCCTGAGACATTCTGGCCCCGGTCAGCAGCAGCTCGGCCTGAACCCGCCGTGGGAACTGACCTCGTCTCTCTCTCCCAGTCCTACTCGTCCACAAACCCTGTCACCCTGCCTCCAGTTCTGTCACCTGCTCACGACATCCCTCACCTAATCCCTGTGATGGCTGTCCACCTGCTCTGACCCCCGGGTGCCCTTCTGCACCTCAGGTCACAACACCCCTCCACTTGGGGCCCTCGGAGTCCCACCCCACCAGGAGTTGTCCTCACTTCTAGCAGACCCAGGGAGCTGCGCCGGCTTCCTGGGCTGCCTCTCTGCCTTCCAGCCTCCTGCTGTTCCCAGATGCAGAAACAAGCATTTCAGGGATAGCAGGAGGCCAGAGGGGCAGGGCAGGGGCAGGGGCAGGGGCAGGGGCAGGAAGGGCCGGACCATCTCCCCTGAACGCTCTTCACCAGCCAGCTACGTGGTCTCTCCCTCACCCCCTTCTGGACCCTGTACAGCGTCAGGGTCTGCGAGGCGTTCCCTGGACACTGTACAAGACACTGCCCCAGCCCTCCGCTCACCATCCTGCATAAGTGTTCTTTAAAGCAGAGCTGCTCAGACGTCACTGTCCCCACCATGGTCACCGCACGTCTCGCTCCACCATGGGCTCTGCCTCCCTGGGCCCTGACGTTCTGTCTAGCTGTCGGGCTGTGCCCACGGAGAAGGCCCAGCCACACCTGGAGTGGCAGGGCGGGGGAGGACGGTTCACCCCCGACCGCCCCCCACCCCCCGCAGAACCCCCAGCCACACCTGGAGTGGCAGGACGGGGAAGCACGTTTCACCCTGATCCGACACAGACACACAGCTCGTCGCGGTCCCCATGCCCCGCCTTCAGAGCACACACTTCAGGAGGGCAAGGAATGTCTGTCCCGTTCACTGCTGCAGCCCCAGCGTCTGTAATGGAACTCTGTACATGGTGGGTGCCCAGGCAGAGGTTGAAGGAATGCATGTGGAAACCATCCCATTGCAATCTGGTGTCCCACATGGTTTTCCTAGAGAGTATCGACAGGTGAGAAGTCACCACATTCCTGTGGTAGGTCTAGTCTGTATTGTCAGTTAATATACTGGCAAACTGGTTTGTATATCAGTCTCTTGTAAGTCAGGTTAGCACAAGTTGGTCCTCTGATCCCGCTGTACTCAGGGGGCTTCAGCACAGCGGAGGACCAGACCCTGGGATGTGAAGACCTCACGGCGAGTGACACATGGCTAGGTCCTGCCTGACCTCAAGCACCCCGACTTTATAGGTCCCTCATCACCAGGTGCCCAGCATCTGGCCACCCTTGGGCTCAGAACTCTATCAGTACAGAAGAACTCTCCGCCACAGTTTCAGCCCCCAGCGGTTAACCCCATAGTAACTGCTGCGACCGCTCATGGGTACCTGCTCCCGCTGACGCTGCACTGACTTGCTAATGCTTTCAGCGGCTCAGTGCTGGATGGCAGTTTCCGTTATTAACATTTTCTTTCTCCCCCACCCCCTGCAGAGGTTTGCTATAGGGCGCGTGCACTTGCCAGTAAGACAGAGAGAGACAGGGAGACAGAAAGCGAGAAATCACCCCCCGGGGGGATAGCCATGCTGCAATCCCTTCTCCTCCATTCTCCTCTCAAGATCTTGGGCACGCACGTGCACGCGCCTGGTGTGAGTTTAAGCCACCAGGTCTGGGACTTGAACTGTCATGGACTACATGCGAGTCCAGCAACACAGTCATTAAACCAATTGCTGGTCCCTGTTAATAACATTTTCTAAAGCTTAGAACTTCTGTGAAAAAAACAAAACAAAACAAAACCAATGTCTCTTTCTGGCAAGGCTAGCCTACCGGATGGAGACGGAACGGCCCGGCGTGTACACACGTGGTTCGCATTCGTGACGGAATTGCCCGTGTCTGTTTCACTCCGCTCTGTCGCTGTCAGGAAGGTACTTCCCCCGGTGCAGCATGTCAGAGCCTTCACTGGAGTTCAGGGGTGAGAGGACAGACCTCTCGGCATCCCTAAAGTCATGTCACAGTCCCGACGGCGGTGAAGGGGGGCTGGGGCGCCACCACAGCCATGGGCACGGCGGCCTGAACGCAGCTGCGCCCGAGGTGAAGAGGGGCAGTCCCTGACTTGCGGGGATTTCAGCAGAGGACAGACTCAGGAGGCGGCGCCCAGCGCAGCGGGTGCCGGGGCAGGGGCAGGGGCAGGGGCTGGGCGGGCATGCCGTCCTCAGTCCTGACTTGCAGATGAGCAAACGGCCCCAGAGAGGTGGGCATCTTCATAAATGTCGTTTCTCTGAAACACACAGTTGAAGCTGGTTCTGAGGTAACCCACGCGCCTGGAAACATGCACACACGTGTGCACGCACACACATGTGCATATGTTTGTCAGAGTGAGGTCAAAGGGTGCAGAAACCCGGGCGGGATGGAATATTCTGGCCTGGAGCAAACGCTGAGGCGTCTGCACACGTTCCCGGCGCTCCACGGCAGTCGCCTGTGGCTCGTGCGGGCTCTGTGACACGTGTGAGCATGCAGCCGTGTCCGCGGCGCAGCTGGCGACACCCGCCATGTCCCTCCGGCCTACGCCCTCTCGGCTTCCCATCCCTCTGGCCCGCAGGACCCAATGGACTGGCTGCCCCTCCGCCGCCGGGTCTCATGCCCTCCTCTGCGCCCTAAACCCAGCTCCAGCCAGCTGGGCCGCCCCCCTTCCTTCAGAGGGCACCTGAGGCCACTCCCTCGGCAGCTCCTCCCAGCCCTCCACCACCCTGCCGCCACCACCACGGCCTCCTCCAGCCCTCCCTGCTGGCTGTCCTCTGTACCACACCCCTCCTTACTGACCCGCCCTCCAGCCCTCCCTGCTGACCATCCTCACAGCACCCCTGTACCACACCCCTCCTTACTGACCCGCCCTCCAGCCCTCCCTTACAACACCCCTGCACCACACCCCTCCTTACTGACCCGCCCGCCCCCAGAGCACAGGCCCAGGGACTTCCTGGCAGCGTCCCAGTCCCAAGCGTGCGTCTACACGTGGCTGGTGCTCTGAACACCCACCACCAGACATCAGCGGAGGCTTCACCCGAGGGCGGGTTCCGCTTCCTTTAAGTGCTATTTCTGAGGAGGGCGTCTGGACCACGCAAGATGGACCACCTCCTCTTAGCCTGCTTCCCCACGGAGGGGTTTCCTTGTTCCGTCAGCTGGACCTCGGCCCGAGGAGCCTCCCCAGGCCCCGCGGCCACGTCCCTCTGGTCCAGTGCTGCCCTCACCCAGAGGTGCGGGGCCCCGTGTCCACTGCACACTCGTCTCTGCCCTAGAACAGCCATTTAGAGGCCCAGGACACACAGAAGTCAACACTCGCGCCGGGGACAGAGTCCCGACCCCAGGTCAGCTCTCAGGACACGGGTTCTGAAAGACTCTGCCCTTCCTCCTCCTGGCTGGCCTCCTCCTCCTGGCTGGCCTCCTCCTCCTCGCTGCCCGTCCAGTCACAGCCCCCGCACCCCAGCCCTCACCGCCTTTCCGGGATTATTCGGTCAGAATTAAAGTCCCCGAGACGCAGCGAGTCCTGGGGTGTGGGCGATGGACCGGAACTCCGACCTTATCATTCACGACCACGACCACGGAGCTGAGGCCCCGCGTTTGACGCGAGAGGGCACTAGCTCCCCTCCCCGCTTACTGCTGAGCTCCGCTCTCTCCCGGATTCCTCCCTCCCCAGCTGACCCTTTTCCAGGCCCGTGTCTTCTAGCTGTCCCCCTCTGCCCTGGCCCCACCTGTC